TCGGTAATAACTTTAGTCACGAAATGGAAACTGTTCATGCTCTAGTCCATCTTTAGGTCAGATATGCATATTGATAGTATCTGATTGATTATACTTAGAGTTACTTGTGACAACTATCTTGCCCGAATGAACTGCTGTTGTATTTGATAACCAAAGGTAAGGAAGCGTTTCAGAATTCATCTCAATATTAATTAAGACATCCAAATATCTATGATCAGGTTGTGCTAGTTCCTGAGAAATTAGAAATTTTCTACATTAGAAATAAAGAAATTGCTGGAGTACAGAGGCATCTTTCCATTGATGCAAGCTTCATTTCGATCAGTTCAAATCGGAGAAAGACAGACGTTCGACAGGGTTAATTGCGAAAGCGTCCAAAAATTTGTGCACGCGCACTCTTGTTGTTAAATCCCAGTGTCGAAATTTATCGGAAAGGACAGAATTGAAAACCCTTGAATAATTGCTCTACTCCCGCTCCGAATTTTAGTTCTTCGTTTTCTGCAAACCGAGAGAGATCTAATCAGGAATGACTGGTTACTGTAGGCAGAAACTGATTGAGGTATTTTTCAAAAACTGATGCTTAAAACTAAATTGAGCTGAGAACAACATTATTGGATCAGATAAGACTATAAAAATGAAGAGTAGCATTTCGTTGAAACACACTATCTCAGTTCAATTTCCTCTACGAATCTTATGAGGTCTACAACTTTCAGCGCTGTGGCTAAGGGAGGGATGTGAGAAGATGTACGCCCCTCCTGCTTTTCAAGAAAATCTTTTCTCTTTAACAACTTCTTTTCTCCCAAAAATTTCGTCAGAGTTCTTGCCCGGATGGTAGCGAATCGAATCAATATTTAACAAAAAACTCCTTTCTTCCACTTTTTGCCCGAAAGTATTTGAGGACAATATCTTGCTCCCACATTTTCTTCAAAGAGAAAAAAAGCTCAAATTAATAACGAAGATAATAACCAATATATATGTATATAAAAAAAAATTGTGTTTGCTAACTTCTATGACTATCTCCCAAAAAAATTTACACCCCTCCTGCTTTTTTCTCTCTCCACGGCACTGACAACTCTACATTTTTCTTGTATCAAAACTGAAAACAACGAGGATGTACAAAAATGTACTCGTAATTCTTGTTCGTGTTCAATAGCAATAAAAGATGATGTTATAATTGGTATACCAATTATAACATCATCTTTTAGCACCACTACTATCCACTACTATAGTAGTGGTGCTAATGATAATGATACTCATTATTCAATGCACTGTTCAAAATTATCGGAGAATGTTTTAAATTGGATGAGTTGATGATGCGTATGAACTTAAAATATAGTTGCTATGTATATATTGATAAATTATAAACAGTGTATGAAGAAAGAACAAACTCTCTATTCCAGATTGAGACCACATTTTATTTCAATAAGAAACGAGAGAATATGTGCATTTCCAAATTTAGACCACTTTTTAAATCTAATTAATAAGCATAAAAAAACGTGATCTCAATCATGACGGAATAATCTACAATGCAAAAGTAACTAGACAAATGTCTCTCCATTTTTCTTGTGGTAAAGCACGTTCCGAGAATACCCAAAATAGTTATTTTGAATGTATACTTCGAGAGCTTTCTAATTATATGTTCAGAAATATTCTATCGCTTTTAATCTACTGGTAGTGAGCGAATCTGTGTTATCATCAAAAATTTAGGCTGTAACGATAAAAATTTTGGATATTTTTTCATTTTGACAATAACCGCTTCATAACCGGTTACATTTATAGATCAATCTTAAATTTTGAAAATTTACAGTAATATCCTACTGTAAACTACCTTGCCTACGAAAAAGATGTATGCTAAACTCAAATTGAAAGATTAAACTTTGGATTACTTACTGGTTTATAAAGCAGAATTTTCTCTGTCAACTAGACGGTCTTAGATTAGTTTTTGCATTGCAAAAACTGGTCAAACTTCTAATTTTACCAAAAGCGTGCTTTGTGAAAAATTGTGTTTTTCAACGAAATCCTATTTGGGCAAGAAATGATGTTAAAAAAAAAGCGAATAATTTCCGACCGTTATGCTGTGTATTTTAACGTCTTATTGTGTAGAGAATTGTTTGTTCTACAATCTTATGCCGTAAAAACGTTTCAGTAATGTACTACAAAAAATTTATATAAGGAATACAAATACTAAGTGGGGTACACAGGGAAGGGATGACACATTTTCCTGTTCTGCAAAAATATATTTTCTGTCTGGCAGGGGGAGCATATTTTTATTGCGTTCTGTTGGAGAAAGCAGGGGCAAAAAATGTTTATCCACAAGAAATCGTCCTTGCTTTTTGATTTTGCCAAACCTATGATTTCCATTTGTCGAAAAATATCAGATTTTCTTTTTTTACAAACTTAGTTTTTAGGGCATAGCAAAGATTCGCTCATTCTGAGGAGACTAGAAGCGACAGAAAATGTTTGAAAACACAGTTCGAAAGCTCTTTAAATGTAGATTCTCTTGGATCTGTAGATAACAAGAACTCCAGTGAAACTTACATTTTTCTAATATACAAAATACCGCTCATTTTTGTAGTTAGCCCAGTCTGATCATGAATAATTGAAATTATAGTTATTAGATGCTGCTTTTATGAATAATTTGATAAAAGAATTTTCTTCAAATTGGTCTGCAAAAAATATCACGCCACATCTTTTTCTTCTTCATATGGACATACCACGAAATACTTTTAACTTTTGAACCGTAGCTTTCTTATCTACTGTTCTGAGTAAGTTTTATCGGGGCCGAGCAAAAGTTCTGTGTTAGTTTCATTTTTGATGTAACGTTGCGATGAAATACTCTGTCTTTTTTCTGTTAGAACGACCAAGATGTCTAATAGAAAAATATACAAAAAGTGTTTGACTGGAAACGGTTTCCAAAGATCCTGAAAATTTTTAAATAAAGAGCATCCGAAAACTATTCTGCAACTTCAGTCATACTTTTTGCATCCAAATTAGGCATGCAACAGTTTTTTAACAGTTTATTTTCGTGCTTTTCAAAAAATGGTTTGTATTTTCGCAACAGCAAACTGTGAAATTTTCTGAATTCAGCAGTTTTGTCGAGCAGACATTTCTCTACTATATGCCATCTTGTAGAGAAATGTGTGCTCGACAAAACTACAGATTTCGGAAATTTTCACAGTTTGCTGTTGCGAAAATACAAACCATTTTTTAAAAAATACGACAAATATATTTGATGTGGTGTTTCTGAGCACAGTATATATATATGAAGTTGCTTATTACGCATTAGAATATCAAAATGTACTCTGTTTTATCTGTTCAATCAGATTTTGTGCTTAGAATTGGTAAAAAATCTTCTCTTACTTCTGACGGTTTCTAGAAATAGCTTTGTACACCTAAAGAAAATGCGCGATTTTAGGGCTTCGAGGAAATCCGATACCGCGCCTAAACCACGATTGACCACAAATTGAGAATTTACTTAGTTTCCATTTTGTAGAAGACACTTTGGACTATCTATTCATGATAAAAAATCAATACTTTTCTATTTTAGATTTTGGATTTATGAAATAGTTTTCCAACAAATCTTTTCGAAAAATGGTTTTTGAAATTTGTTTCAAAACGCTTATAGAATGATACTCTCAGTTGTCTGCTTCCCAATGGTGAAATCGCATGGCTTCATCTTATATCATTTTCGAGTTATTCGAAAAATAGCCACCGCTCTTTTAAGGGTACCCGCCCCCCTGCTGAACGGCTGAACATAGTCTAATGTAGAAGAATGCCTTGCCCTATGTACAATATGTGTTTTTCTCACTATGCGTTTTTTCAATGGTCCCTTCAATTGGCACACATTACGACCCCTCGAAAAAATGGTCCGATCGAGCTCAGAATTTTACCACAGATACTTCAGACCCTATCTGAGCTTCATTTTTTAAAGCGTTTTCGATTTCAACTTTCTGCGTGAGAAGGTTTTCAAAATGAAAAAACCGTTTTTTTATATGAGATTTTCAGTATTTGTCGAATATCCCGAGAAGGAAAGCATATTTTTCGAAAAGAAGAAACACAAACCTGAGACAGGGTCCGAAGTATCTGTGCTAAATTTTTGAGAAATAGTTGTTGAGTAGACAAATAAATATGTTATTCTTTCAGTCACCATTTTGATCGATATTATTCATACATATATAAGAATAAATACTCTCACTACAGAACATAAAAGCTTTGTAAAATGGAATTCAAACATTGTGTTTGAATGTATGGTTGTTCATGCACTTTCAGCAGCTCTGGTACTGTTTACACAGTACTGTAGAGCATGCACTGTAATGATACAGTAGAAAAAAAATGAAAATATGAAATAGAAAATAAAATTTAAGATTTTCTTTTAAATTCTCAATTTGTTACTGCAGATTCTAATTATTACGTATTAAATTAATCATTTCAGAATTTTTGAAGTATCTTGATAAGATTTTTCAAGATAGATTCTGATATAAAACTTGTGGAAATCTGCAGCACCGCTTCTCATTCAGAACCTTGAAAGATTTCGATAAATTTGCACAAGTTCTTGAAAGATCGACGGTGAAACTTGAGAAATCTTTAAAGATTTATCAAGATCTGCATTCAAGATTTTTCTCCTGGGACAGACATTTTACTCTTTCGAACAAAAAAAGATCTCATTACAATGCTGTATCCATATAAAACTAATGCAGAACTTTTGCCTTTTCCGTTAAAATCATTGACAAAATAATATTAATAAAGAATCTGAAGTAAAGTTTGTGTTATGTGTGCGGTGATAACACTGTGTACACAAACGTTTGTTTTGAATTCAAAACTTTAATTTTTTTTCTGAAATGTTGTTCACCATTTCAACAATTTATTCAAAATTACAGTTCCATATTTACATAATACGAATAAAATATATTTTTAAAAACATAACGTATATACGTGAGCGGAAACGGGCGATTGTTTATCGACTGCTAGATATACTTCCTCATTTACTTTACTAATCCGTCGATTTATGAAATTTGATTTATAATTTTTGATAAAGCAGCCATTTCTCCCAATTTATCTCTATTATTATGATCCCAAGGATGAAAATGATACTTAATAAACCAATCCAAATAAATTGGAGTTACTTGACGAAACACACCAGGACTAATCCATTGAAAAGAAAGTAATTTACCATATTCAACCAAATTCTTCCAGGATCCATCTTCAATAATAATTGCGATGAAAAATCCCCAAACTAGTGTCCAAAAGACAGTTGTGGCCAAAATCAATATGAGACATCGATGTACGTATGCCAGAAAACCAGTTCCGTAAACAGTAGTCCAAACATCAAAAGCAACAGCCTTATGTTCAGTTTCTTCTAATGCATGCCATTTCCATAATAAATGAAAATTTGGTTCAGTGTTCGCAAATACTCGTTGATCTCCAATAATAATTTGAGCCAAAATAGCAGTCCAATGTTCTAAAGCCACTGTGATAGCTAACTGAGTGCGTCGCGGAACATATTTGGAAATATTAGTACAAATCCAAGCAACAATAGCTTCTAATTTTGGAATGATTTTCCATATTTTAGTAATTGATTCATTATAAACTCTATGTTCTCTTGAATGATACATTTCTTGACAAATAAATCCCGTTACCTGGTTTTTTAGTAACACATTAGAATCAGGTATCTGTTTTTTGTGTAATCGAACAGCATGCATAAACATTTTTTCACCTTCCGGGAAGAATAGCGACATGGCATGGAAGAAGATACTAACATGTATACCAGCAGTATGCCAGTTGCGAGCATTTTTCGGATCCAAATGAAAATGATAATCTCGGGGCTTAGGAACATGCTCATCAGCCATTATATCTTTCGTGCTGTTTCTGTCATTGACAGCAGAATCAGTCAAGAGAGCGTCACGACTGACCTCCATTCAAAAGCTGAAGAGAAAAGAAAAAAATGATTGCAATTACGCAAGATAGTTGTCACAAGTAACTCTAAGTATAATCAATCAGATACTATCAATATGCATATCTGACCTAAAGATGGACTAGAGCATGAACAGTTTCCATTTCGTGACTAAAGTTATTACCGACTTTGCTTCTAGGATATTGTCCTGTAGGTGGAAGGAGATGTGATCTTATTACACAAACGGACAGCCTTCGGATCGCACGATGCATGTCTTATGTACCACTCGTATCCGAGTATTATCATATATTTCCATTCGAAACTTTCTTTTTTCATGCAAAGTCGAATAAAAGAAGCCAAGTAAATGATCAAAGAGTTTTCTTCTTGTAGGAGAATGTGTGTTCGCGGTGTAGACTCCTGTGGGGCAGCCTCGAATCCCACCTCGTCTGTCTCATCTCGTGGAACAGACGGGATCGGGACAAAAAAACATTTACTAGCTTTGGCTCGGGGCAAGAAAAAAACTTCATGGGCTCGGGCTTACGGGGTCGGGACAAGTTGCAGCAAAATGTTGTCCCGTAAGTCTTGTCTTTTGATTGTAATTGTGCTGCAACTTCAGATGTTTAATTCTTGTAATACTATTAAGGGCCCCCCTCCCCTCTAAAATTTTTTTTCCCAGAACACTCAATCTTACTGAAATTTTTATTGAATACGTATCTGACCATGGATAGTTCTTAATAAAAATTTGAGCTCATAATATTGAGTTTTTCGCGAGTTATTGTAACATCAAGGGTCAAAAGTAGGTGTCCGTGTGTCAAAGATTTTGTTTTCAGTTTTAATGATACGGCCTTCGAGATGGCGTCAAAATGTAGAGAAGATCTGACCCTACAACCTAACAAAGCCAGATTTTTGAAAAAAAAAATTAATTTTTTTAGACAGTTTTTTCGAAAAACCTAGATTAATTTTTTAGAAAATTCGAGTTTTTTGTAAACAAATAAATTGAAAACAAAAATTCCGGCTTTGTTAGGTTGTAGCGCTGGTATTTACCTTTATTTTAAAACCTTCCCGAGCTTTCTAACATTTAAAATGGCGGAGAAATCTTTGACGCACAATCAGGTAAAACAAAAAAAACAGTTTCGAGAAAAACG